AATCAAACGGCAACAGCCATTTATTTAAAGAATTTTTTCAGCTTCGTCGGTTTCTTGAATCCATGCGTTTTTGTTTTGAAGAAAGGATCCATGCGTTTTTGTCTTATTGAGAGGTCCCATGCGTTTCAGCTTTTCCAATGGCTTAAAGCAATATGTTAGTGCATCAATTTCAAAATATTATTTTGATAACCGGGAAAACATTCATTTAAATTTAATATTTTGTTTCCTTCGGTTACACTGTGAAAGTCTATATATAGGCAGCCTCCATGCCTACCCAAGGCTGATACTCTTTTCTGCATTCTAAACTTTTATTCCAAAAAAAAAAACTCTTTGGGCAAAGGAAAAGGTGGTGGGGTAGAGCTTTCTTTACAAGAGTGCAGTACTTGTAAAGACACAACAAGGAGGTTGAGCTGTCGTATCCTGGGGGCGGCGTGACCATAAAAATCTGCTGCACCAGTGGCACGAAACATCCTAAAGAGAGTGATTGATCCACGTCTCAACTCAATCTCCTCATACTTTCGGTGACATCTTTCTAATCTTTATTTTCATCTTTAATTAATTGTTTTTTGCTAATCTTCTGTCTATTTTTTCTTCTATTTATTTTACGAGGAACAACAATTAGGACTACGGATTTTGTTGGTTTGTAGGAGATGGAGGTATATTATTCCGTGAAATCAGGATATTCTAGTGTTTAATTTTTATTTTTATTTTTTTGGAGAAGATGGATGTGTATTGTTAGACATTCTTACATTTAATTTTCAACTTATAAGTATTTATTTATTACATATATTATGAGAAATATGAAATTTTGAACATCAATGTTAGGTGTGAAAATGAAATTTTATTACTTATTATTATCTTTTTTATCTGCAGTATAATTTTAGATTATATTTTTACATAACATATAAATAATAATTATAAATTTTGTTTATGTAGTCTCAATTTCATTTAATAAAAAAATCCATATATTATTAGATGTGAAATAATGAGCAACTACTTGTGAGAGTTTTATTTTCATCTTTATATCAAATAATAAGCTAGATAATTTTTTTAATTTGAAATTTGAAATTTAAAATATTTAATATAAAATTTTAAAATATTTCATTGCAAACATAATAGTTTTCCTTCAGGTTGCTGAATAAGTCCGTTTGTTTTTTTAATAAAAAATTATTTTTTTTTTTTTACTACTCTTTCTGTTTCTCTAGTTTTATTATTTAAGGATCAAATTAGTCAACAAACAAATTTCATCCCGTAGAATTTGAGCTCAATACTATACTTAGAAATTTAATTTTTTTTAAATGCATCAATTCATTTTTGAATAGTGCATTAAGTCACCATAAGAGAAATCAGTAAGTTAAATAATTGATACTCCACAACATAAATTAAATATGTTGAATGCCAAAGAGGGAGGCTTCGGCTTTCTCCCCATTTCCTTTTCAGTTTTTCTTAAGCCCACGTCTTCTCCTTTCCCTCTGTTTTTCCTCTCCATCTCCATAACCTCCACACAACTACAAACCCCACCCCCCAACCCCCAAAAAAAAAAAAATTGAAAAAAAAAAAATCCATTTTCAGTTTTCGCTCTCCTTGTCCCCTTCTTAAATGAAAGATGCAAACTTATTCATAAAACAAATGTAAATATACCAACGCGCAAAGTAGAGCCTCAATTTCTAAAATTCCAGCATAGGCCACTTTATAGCATGGTGCCCCTTTTATTTCTGGACCCTCTGTAACAACCATGCTCAATATGTGGCAGGCGTTTTAAACTTTAGAACAAAATCCCTCTATCAAGAAGTTCGAATTAAGGAAAAGCCAAAAACAATCATAATATTCGTACCACATCAAGGCAGGCAGGCAGGCACTGATGTTTCACGCTTCGTATATCAATGATAGATATTGTTAATGTAGCATACACAAACAATTTAGTTGGTAACCAACTAAAAGATAAATCTTGGCTCCTCCATAGCTGCATAAAGTACAATAAAATGTACCGTACCCATTCTTTCCAAGTATGACAATCATAGATATATGTAAATGAAAGAAT